GCTTACCCTGACCCTGCCAGCGCTGGACTGGCTGGAGGCAAGGGGGGGAGCGGGCAGAGTCAGCACTGGTGGGGGGGAGCCCAGAGCTGGGGCGGCAGAGGGTGTGGGGGTGGGGAGGAGAGAGCCCAGGGCTGGGGCAGCAGGGGGTGTGGGTAGCAGGGGAGAGAGAGACCAGGCCTGGGATGGCAGGGGGTCCAGGTCGGGGAGGGCACTTGTGGGGGTGTGTGAGAGCCAGGGCTGGGGTGGGGGCAGCCAAAAATTTTTTGCTTGGGGCAGCAAAAAACCTAGAGCCAGCCCTGCTGCTCACCAGGGGTGGGTCGTGCCAGGGATGTGGCCAAATGCCAGATCGGCCAGTTCCTGCTGCCCCCGTGTTCTCCCTGCCCCATGGCTGGGCCAAGCCCCGGGGCACACTCGAGGGGCTGCGGGTGCGGAGCGTGGCAGGAGGGGCTGGCAGATCTCGGGCCGGGCCACGACCCAAAGCCCAGACCCAAGCGCTAGAGAAGTGCCGTTGCGCTGCTGCCCCCCAGCGCGGGGGGTGGCTGTGGGTCAAGCCGTGGGGCACGCCCACAGCACGTGGCACGGGGGTGCTGCTGCGCTGGGGCCAAGATGGGGATGAGCGGCCTGGCTCCCGGGACAGGGCACCCCGGCCCCGGCCCCGCTGCAGCCACCCGCCGCCCGCCAGGGGGCGCGCTCCCCTCTCGCGCGGCGCTCGGCACCTGCCGCTCGATGGCCGCGGGGACACTCTGCCCGGCACCGTCTCTATGGCGCCCCCGCGGTGGCCGCTGCCCTTCGCTCCCTGAGCCGGGGCCTGCTGCAGGCCGGAAGCGCCGAGGACATGGTGAGCGGGACCGGGATCGCTCCCCCGAGCCGGGGCTCCCCCAGCCGCGCTCCGTCCTGCGCAGGGCCCGCTGGGGGGGCGGCCCCGGGGTCCCTCTGCCCGGTGCGCGCCGGAGAGTCGGTGCTGCCCCGGGCCCCGCCGCCTGGCACGGGCCGGCCCCCGGGACCCGCAGGGAGCGTTTCACCGACTTGCGCACGGGGCCCCTTGCGGCGCTGGGACAGACCCCGGCTGCCCGCCCGGCGCCCGGCCCAAGCTCCTGCCCGTGCAGGCGGAAAGCGGCTGGGCCGGGGCCGGGGCCGGGATCGAGCCCGGCGCGTCCTGGGTCCATGCAGCTCGGCCGGGACAGGACCTTCGTGGCTCTGCCAGGCGGCAGCAGCCCTGGGCCGTACAGAACAGCTCCATGGCCCCGGCTGCCGGCCCGTCACCCGGTGACCTCACCCCGGTGTAGACGGCGCTAGGTCAGGGAACAACTCGTCCATCGCCCTAGTACCCCCTGCCCGTGGAAAGCAGCCCTGGGCAGAGCGTGTTTGTGCAGAGGCGTCCCAGGCTGGGGGCTGTTAAAAGCTCCCCTGGCTCAGGAGAGAGGGACCAGGCCAGCGCTTGACCCGCTCTGCCAGACAGAAGGTGTCACCTGCGCGGGCTCCTGCGGTGCCCGCCGTTCACTTGACTCTCTGGCTGCCGCGGCTCATCAGCACCACCGGTGTGAGGGATGAGCCCAGCGCCTGGCATCAGTGTACAGTGGCCTGTCTGGTCGCTTTCACTTCCTAATGCAGGGACATTAGCTGCTCCTCCGTGTCCAGTGCCCACCCTGCGGTGCCCAGGGCCGGGCTGGCCTTGCTCTGCATACAGCCAGCAGGAACATGCAGCTTCCTGGCCACTAGAAGGCACTCGCTGTGTAACAGGAACAACCCGGGCCGCTGGGTGCAAAGGCTGAGGTTACTCTGAATTCAGATGCACTGTCTGGTGAAGTGCCCCCCATCCCCAGTGCAGGGTTTGTCTAGAATCGCACTGTGCGTCGCCAGCTGTGCGGCCTCCCTTCCCTTTTGAAACCAGTGCCCAGTGAGCATTGGGGTCACATCTGGGCTCCCATAGCTAATGATTTAACCAGTCCCAGGGCACTGGCCCCGATCTGTTCCTGGCTCTTCTGGACCATGTTGCGTCACTGGCTGGCTTTTGGCAGGGTGAATGCTTTGAGGGAGGAGAGGGCTTTTAAGCTGACTAGTGCCCGAGTTGTGGGGGGAGAGGGGGAGCCGCTGGATCTTCCTAGTTACCTGATGCCCTTCCTGAACGATGCAAGGTCTGAGGAGTAACCTGGGCACACCCACACAGAAGGCCTCTTCTGTAGGCCCCTGTCGGCAGCAGGTATTTGACTGCTTGTGCTTTGTCTGCAGGCCAAGTACCTGGCGCAGATCATCGTGGTGGGGGTGCAGGTAGTGGGCAGGGCCTTCGCTCGGGCACTCCGGCAGGAATTTGCAGGTAAGCACCAGTCACTGTTGCCAGCCTTGTCTCTTCCACCCAAGGGGGGTAGCTATGGAAAGCTGGTGTTGTCCTTGAGGGTGACCCCTGGCCTTGGCTCTGGTTTAGTGTCTTTGTTTTGCATGTTAGAGGGCTGCTGGTGGGAGCGGGGCACCGGGCCTGTGCTGCTGGGGGAAGGCAGCCTGGATTGGCACCATTGCTTGTGGTAACTGCTCAGTAACGTGCGTTAGTGTTAGCGGGTAACCTTCACAGACCTAGGTTAGTAACCCGAGCTGCTGCCAGACAGGGAGCAGGGATGGGGACCTGGGCTGGGATTCCAGTCTCTGGAGACCCCAGATTTGCTGTCAGAGTTGGCCTCTGCAGCCTGGGGAGCAGTGCCCCCAAGTCTGGCCCCAAGTGTTTCCTGGGGGCCCTGCTCGGTGGCTGACTGGACCAGGCTTACTGTGGCCCCGGTGGGGACAGTCCTGAGTGCTGTACAGAGAGCAGGGGGATCCTCTGGGAGGGAGGGCAGGATCATCCCCATTGCCCCACACAGCCTGAGACAGACTGGAATTGAACCCAGGCATCCTTGGCTCATGTTGCCACCCCCTGCCCTCACACCCCCCCCCCCCCCATTTCCTTATGTCCATAGAGGTCCTGTGGCACTTCCCTTTGCATGTTCAATAGCCCCAGGCAAGCTCTCCTGTGAGCGCAGTGGCCAGGTGGGCCGGGGAGAGTGGGCTGTGATTGGAGGAGTGACCAGCTCTGGGGTCTCTCTGAACAGCCAGCCGAGCAGCGGCCGATGCGCGGGGACGCGCCGGGCCCCAGTCTGCTGCAGCCACCAGCATCTCGGGGATCAGCCTGCAGGAGGCCCAGCAGATCCTCAACATCTCCAAGCTCAGCCCGGAGGAAATTCAGAAGGTAAAGCTGCGGCTCGGAACGGGATGGTCCAGCAGGCAGGTCTGCATAGCAGCAGGTTGCTGAAAGCCCAGCCCCTTTTCCCCAGCTGCTGCAGCCTGGTGTTCTCGCTCTGGCAGGAGATGGCTGGGTGGTGGCGTGTTTTGCTCCAGGGAGTGTGAGTATGGGTAGCCAGTTGGGGCTGGGCACCTCTGTTCTCAGTGCAGCAGCTTCCTTCAGCAGGCCTGTTACCAATGGTGCATTGAAGCATTCGCACCTTCCTCTCTGCCCCGGGACCCTTCTTGGCTTGCCCTGTAATCAGGGCTTTCCAGTGCTGCAGGAGGGAGAGAGGCTCTGGGCTGAAGTGCTTGGACTCAACCCCCCATGACAGCCACCCAGTGAATTTGCATGCCCTTGCTGGCCAAGTGTCAGTGAGTGAGGGTAGCTGCTCCCTCTGCCTCAGGGCACGGGCACTGCCATGGCTGTCCCCTGGAGGGACCTGTCACTATGACTTAGAACAGCCAGCTGGCAGCGCGCTGAAATGCAGAGCGAGGGGCAGCCGGAAGAGGCAGCTCACGGTTGGCTTGTTTCCTTTGGCAGAACTACGATCACTTATTCAAGGTGAATGACAAGTCAGTGGGGGGATCGTTTTACCTGCAGTCTAAGGTAAGCAGGGAGTTGGATGGGTCTGGGCATCCGTCCTGCTCTGTGCCAGGCTATTGGGCTGGCCTCGCAGGTTCAGGAGCCGGCTGGCTGTCTTGGGAGCTGGCACTTGGGGCTGGAGGCGCTAAGGCTGTCATCGCTGTTTGTGGCGCTCTAATTACCCCTCTGAGCAGAAGCAGATCTTTTCCGGGGTCTTTGCCAGGGTGAACGTCCTGCTGGCAGTGCCCTCTGGGTGTTTCCATCCCCACACCCGCCCACATGCCCCCACACCTCTCTGGGCCCCTGTCACACGGGCTGGACCCTGGGTGTTTCCGATGGCAGCATGTTGGACCCTGAGAAAGGCTGAGTTCCCTGGGGTCTGGCACAGCGTCCGTTTGCCATCCTGTGCTCTCCGGGGCATGTGGATTGAGAGGGCAAACTGCCCTGGGCTGCAGCGTCTTTCTCAGGCCCCTCTGCTGCTGCATGGTGGGGCCTGGCCTGGAGCCACTATCAGCAGCCCCCTCATGCCAGTCACCAGTGTTCCCTCTAATGTTTTACATCCATGTGCGGAATGAATTTTGTTATGTGCATCAATATGGAGATGTGTGACACCTCACCTTCGTATTGGTGCACATAACAAAATTCATGTGGTGGGGGTGGGGCCGAGGGGTTCAGAGTGTGTGAGGAGACTCACGGCTGGGGAAGAGGGTTGCAGTGTGTGGGGTGAGGGCTCTGGTTGGGGGTGCAGGCTCTGGGGTGGGGTTGGGGATGAGGGGTTTGGGGTGTGGGAGGGGGCTCAGGGCTGGGGGCAGAGGCAGAAGGTTGGGGTGCGGGGGGGGGTGGGCTCTGGGGTGGGGTCAGGGATGATGGGTTTGGGGTGCAGGCTTCCCTGGGGCTGCGGTGGGGAGAGATGACTCCCCCCCAGCCCTCTCTCGCTGCAGCAGCTTGGTGCTAGGGGAGAGGCATCTTTCCCCAGCCGCAGCAGCTCTGGCGGGGCTGGGCTGGGCTGGGCTGAGGGAGGGGCTCCTCCCCAGGCCAAGGCAGGTCCACACTGGGGCCGGGCTAAGGGAGAGGTTCCTCTCTCCCAGCCGAGGCAGATCTGTGCTGGGGCTGGGCCAAGGGAGGGGCTCCCCTCCCCCGGCCGCAACACGTCCGTGCTGGGGCCAGCGGGGAGGGGCGCCTCTCCTCGCCTGAGCCCCTGCGCAGGGCTTAATAGGCAGCTGCGCAGCTTAGAGGGAACTTAGCCAGTCATGCTGTTGGTTTCTGCTGCCTCCTCCTGGCTGCCTGGTGAAGTGCAGCCATGTCCCTTGGCTATCCTGGGCCTGAGGCCCGGCCCGGGTATGGCAGACTGGGTGGTAGGTGAGACTCATTGGAGACACTGTCCCGCAGGTGGTGAGAGCCAAGGAGCGGCTGGACGAAGAGCTCCGAATCGAGGCCCAGAGACAGAGTGAAAGAGAACAGGGGCAGAAGCCAGAGACGTAACTACCCTCCATGCCCTCTTCTCAGCCCCTCTAAATTATAGCCAGCCAATAAATCCCCTCTCTGCAGCTTCCTCTGTGTGGTTTGGATTCAGGAGATTCCGTGGGAGAGATGGTGGGGGTCATGGCCTGGCCCATTGCTTGCGGGCAGCTGTATCCACTACCAAATGGCCAGGGGCCTCCCATAATGCACTAGAACAAGTGGGCGGTGAGGTAGATGGAGGAGGAGCATTCCTTCCTGGACCATTCGCCCTGAAACATGGCGTCCAATTGCCCCCACCCACCACAGAGCCAGAAATGCCTGGTGCTACATGCAGCCAGTTGGCTGCCCCCTGGGAGCCCCGTGCTTTAGAACAGGGGTGAGCAAACTACAGCCCGCGGGCCGCGTCCAACCCATCAGACCTTTTAATCTGGTCCTTGAGTTCCTGCCAGGGAGCAGGGCCAAGGGCTTGCTCCGCTCCGTGTTGCTCCCAAAAGCAGCAGCATGTCCTCCATCTCCTACACGTAGGGGCAGCCAGGGTGCTCCACACGCCACCCCCGCCCCAAGCACTGGCTCTGCAGCTCCCATTGGCTGGGAACCCAGAGCCGGCGCTGCATCTCTGCGTAGGAGCCGGAGGGGGGACATGCCGTTGGTTCCGGGAACTACTTGAAGTAAGCGCTGTCAGGACCCTACACCCCTGACCTCCTCCCACGCCCCAGCCCTATGCCCCAGCCCTGATCCCCCTCCCACCCTCCAAACCCCTCAGTCCTAGCCCAGAGCACCCTCCTGTACTCCAAATCCCTCATCCCCAGCCCCACCACAGAGCCTGCACCCCTGCCCCAGCCTGCAGCTCCCTGCACCCTGAATCCCTTATTTCTGGCCCCACCCCAGAGCCCTCACCCCCTCCTGCACCCCAACCCCCAATTTTGTGAGCATTCATGGCCCACCATACAATTTCCATAACCATATGTGGCCCTTGGGCCAAAAAGTTTGCCCACCCCTGCTCTAGAAACAGGGTTTCCGTGTGCCCCTGACTCAGTGTGATGGGGGCTAGACGCTTTCCACTGCACCCACCATTGCAGGGACGTATCTGCCCTTCCACTCCCTGGCCAGGTCCTTCAGCGGCCTCAGGACGGTGTCTGCTGGGGAGGAAGACTCAGACAACATGGGCGGAGAACTGGTAGGACGTGGGGAAGCTGCCGTGCGAGGAGACCCGCTGCTGGGCCCCCGGGAGTCAGTGTGAGCCCACCCTACCTGACTGGACCCCTGTACACCCAGCTCTCCCTGGGGGCGAGGGCAGCCTAAAGAGCACAGCAGTTTAGCGGGGCAAGGAGACAGTAACCAGGGTGCAGGGCCGCCGGTTTCACCTGGGGGCTGCAGTGACGCATTTTCTGCTCAGCCATTTGGAAAGCCCCAGCTGCCTGTCTCAGCCACTCCTGTCCAGCCATGGAGGCCAGGCGCAGATGGGCTCTTGGGACCAGACTGAGCCCAGGGGGCTCAGGAACCAAATCTCGCCAGGCACCATTTCTGAGAGCGTTTTGCCAAACTAGAGTGCAGCAAATGGCCCCTCTGTGGCTCCTTCCCCAGGAGCCAGGGGAACAGCTGAGCCCAGGAGCTATAACCACCCTGCTGCTGGCCTGTCACCACCACAGGAAAACCTGGGCCCCGTAAGACTGGGGAGAGCAGCGGCCCGCATGGCTTCTGGGGGCTCCCCCATAAACTCCAGGCTTCAGCTGCCCTGAGATGCTTGGAGCATTTCCTGGGATGCAGCGTTGTTCCACAAACCCCTCCATCAAGGTGAGCTCTGGCCACCACTGATCACAACAGCTGTCAGACCCGTGCTCCCGCCACTCCTGATCATCGTAACTACCAGGCCACCCGGGGGGTGGCAAGCGGCATGTTCCCAAAGCGGCGCAATCCTGCAGCTCTCGGGGGGATGGCAACCCCCACCCCGTGGGGGGTTAGCTTTACCAAGTCCTGAGATCCCTGTGCCAGGGGAACAGACCAGAGGGAATAAGCCTGCCTGAGCCCAGCTGGCATAGTAGATTGTTTCCATTTCCTAAGGGCCATCGGTACCACAATGACACACACGCACAGCCTTTGTGGCACTGCCCTCTGTGCTGCTTGGCACATGCCCTTCTTGGCCCCCTGGCCCTGCGGGGCGGGCTCTGAGATTCCCTCACTCGCCTGATTGCTCTGGGCTGGCTGCACAGGGAGGTGGACACTCTTGAGAACATTGAGGTTCATCCCAAACCCTTACACGAAGGTTTCTAACCATCAGAGGAGTGAAGTTCTGGAACAGTCTTCCAAGGGGAGCAGTGAGGGCAAAAGATATATCTGGCTTCAAGACTGAGCTTGATAAGTTTATGGAGGGGATGGTATGATGGGATAGCCTACTTTTGGCAATTAATTGATCTTTGACTATTAGCGGTAAATATGCCCAATGGCCTGTGATGCGACACTAGATAGGGTGGGATCTGAGTTACTACAGAGAATTCTTTCCTGGGTGTCTGGCTGGTGAGTCTTGCCCACATGCTCAGGGTTTAGCTGATCGCCATATTTGGGGTCGGGAAGGAATTTTCCTCCAGGGCAGATTGGCAGAGGCCCTGGGGGCTTTTCGCCTTCCTCTGCAGAGTGGGGCACGGGTCACTTGCTGGAGGATTCTCTGTACCTTGAAGTCTTTAAACCACGATTTGAGGACTTCAGTGGCTCAGATGTAGGTTAGGGGTTTGTTGTGGGAGTGGATGGGTGAGATTCTGCGGCCTGCGTTGTGCAGGAGGTCAGACTAGATGATCATGTTGGTCCCTTTTGACCTTAAAATCTATGATTCTAAGCCTGACCTGGCTGCCTCCTTGGGGCCCCTTCTGGCCCATGGAGGGAGACGTCGGTACCAGAGGGCTCAGTGGCTCCCAAACTGGGGCTTGCAGCATCCTGGCTCCCCCTCTCTGTTTCGGTAGCATCTGTGGGCCTTGTTGCGCTGGGCACTAGCCAGACCTGGGAGGAGGCAGGAGCTTGTGGACCAGCTAGGCACCGAGGGAGAAGGGAAATGGGTGGCCACTTGTCCAAGATCTCACGGCAGCTCCGGGCTCAAACCCAACTCTTCCCGTCCCCACACCAGAACCCTGCCTGCTGCCTCTCATTGCCAACAACTCCTGTGCACCCCCCCACCCGTTCCCAGCACAGGCAGTGCCCGTCGCTGACACCTAAGGGTGCAGGTGCCAGTGGGAGGCTGAGATGTGCTCACAGGGGTGGTGTCCCTAGGCGGCGCTGAGCAGGGTGGAGCCCCCGAAAAGCAATCACAGGCTGACACAGCCAGGGCAACTTGTCAATTCACTTTATTGTTTTCTTAATAAACTTCCTCTCCTCTGGAGGCCGAGAGGGGCAGTCGTGAGCATCTCGCTTTGTTTCTTTAGTTAAACGCTATGCTAACAGCAATGGAGCTGAGAGGAGAAAGAACGTACACTACCAGAGAAAGGCACTTAGAGACGGGTAAAATACCGAGAGCCTGGAATGTGCGACGACGACCGAAAAACAAAACGTATACCGGCCCTGGCAGGCCTAGTCTATCACAAAGCACATGCTGTGCTACTGTTAACCCTTTGAGTGGCATGCTGCTCGCCCGGCCTGGGGTGAGGGGGCAGGGATCTCTCGGCAGCCCCAGAGCTGGCAGGCGTGATGCTCGCCCACAGCAACAGGTTCCCCCAAGCGTTGGCTCTGGGGGGCTGGCTCCCTGCCAGCCAGGCTGCAGTGCTATAACAGCCAGACCCTGAGGGCTCCTCCCTCCCTCCAGCAGCTGCAATGGAGCTTTTGAGGTGGAGGATGTGGCCAGTGAGGGGGTCTAGAGCCTGGCTAGGGGGATCTCCTGGTTGGAGGGTGGCAGCAGAGCAGGGGTCCTGCTGAGGGCAGGGGAGAGGTACGCAGGACCCCCTTGTGTACCAGGAGGAGCAGAAAAGACAGCGAGACCCCTCCTGCAAGGGAGGGATAGTCCGGGTGGGCCCCTTGGGGCGAGCACTGAGCAATCCCTCTGTAGGGGAGGGAGTGTCCGAGGGGCAAGCGTGGGGAGGGGGAGAGGCCAGGAGACCTGGGCACAAGCGGTGGCTGCTTGGAGATGCCCTGTCCTCAGGAAGTGCCTGGGCCTGCTCCTGCGGGCACAGCCATGCCATGCCCAGGCCTAGCTGTGCTCAAGGAGCTTGGCTCTGGAGCAACCACTCAAAGTGCTAAATCAGTCTAAAGAGTTTATGTAGCTTATATGTCCATAGGCCAGCCTGGCTGGCCCTGGAGTGTCTAGAATAGCTTACGGTACATACTGCGCGGGGCCATCTGGCCAGCACCAGCTGAAAAGACAGGCTGAGCCCACTGGCATCACCCACAATGGCTCAGTGCAGCTCTGTGGTGCCAGCCAGCCAACATGCCTGCCCTCTTTGGCCACAGCTGAACCTCCAGACCTATGTTGTGCAGGGGCCAACCCTGCCCAGATCTGCTCCCTGCTGGGGGCAACCACACCAGGCCCTCACCAGGTTGGGAGGAGCCCGCTGGGCCGCATGGCATGAGCCCAATCTGCACATTGTTGTGACTCTTCCTTATGGGCAGGTGTCTCCTGGAGACTACAGCTCCCAGTAGGCACTGCTCAGAAGGGGGTGGAGTGCCTGCTGGGAGCTGTAGTCTGAGGCCACAGCCTTGGCCACCCCACATTTAATGCTGTAACTTAGGCTGGCTTGCTGCCCCTCACTCAGGGCAGAGCCCCAGCACCTCACCAGCCGCTCCCCACCCCCCCCGAGTGAGGGCTGTGATGCCCCGTGGCTGGGAGGTGCAGACACATCAGGCCCCAGTGCTGTGGGGTAGCAGAGCCCTCCCACCAGCCTGCACCGTGGGCAGTGAGAGTGGCCCTGTGCTTTGTGTGTAATTAGCTTTCTAACCAGCAAGGTGCATGGGGGAGGGGGGGGCAGGAGACCAGCTAGGGGGAGCTCATGCTCCCCAGCAACTGGCATGCATAACCACAGTGCTCTGATGGGCCAGGCTCTGCCTCCTGCTGCTCCTCCCCTGGGCCGGGTGCCACAGGGGCATCCAGCTGTCACCCAATGCCGCTTGGTCTCAGCCTGGCACTGGGCCTGCTGCTCACCAGGCTGCCACGGGGCTGGCTGGGGTGTCTCCAACCAACCCCCTGGGGCAGGGACAGCAGGGGGGCACAGCTAGGCCCATCAAGGGAGCCAGAGAAGAACATGGGGCAGCTGGCTGAACCCAGCCCATGGGCATTACTCTGTGTGTGGGGGACAAGGCTAATGGGGTCCCTCCTACCTGCATATGCTGCAGCCCCTGGCTGAGGACAGGCCCAGGGGAGCTCTGAGGGCAACAGCCTGCCCAGGCCATGTGCCCACAGGCAGCCTGGCAGCCACGCCTCAGGAAGGTGGCGTGTGCCAGGGCAGGGCTAGCCAGGGCTCTGGGCAGTGGGGCTGGGCTGGAGAAGGTTGCAGCTGCTGAGCCAGTCACTGGGAGATGGGCAATGGGTCCGTGGGGTGATCTGCCCAAAGGGTGGAGGGAAAACCAGTTTGGGGAGCATCAGCAGCAGGCCTTGGGGGGGGAGGAACAGCAGCGGGGGCTCAGCCCCAGGCCTGATGGGGCTCACCTTGGCAGCTAGCCAGAATGGGGGCTTGGCAGGTGCAGCACCAGGTTGTGGGTGGTGGCCCAAGGGCTCCCTGCAGTGCTGGGGGAGGGGGGGCCCTGCAGCAATCTGCCCACTCAGGGTGTTAACTGAAGTACTGCCCCTGGCACCCGCCTCCCAGCTGGGCTGGCCAGGACACTAGCAGGCCAGGGTTCACAGCTGGGGGGGACTCCCGCCCTGCGGCGCCGGCCAGCCACACACACTTGTGTTACATGCTAAGGTACTAACAGAGCTGAAGGCGATCTTGCCCCCGCCCTCCCCCCTCGTTGGGGAAGGGGCATGGGAGCCGGTGAGCGGCATACTCAGCCAGTATGCGTTGTCGGGGGAGGGATCCAGAGGCAGGGCTCCCCACGGGACTGGGGGTCCGTCTGTCTGTCTCAGTCCAGTCAACCCAGGGCTGAAGGGCAATGGGGCTGCAGTCCAGAAGTTCATCATGGTCTTGTCTTGCCGGCATCTCCGCCAGGCAAGCCCAGCTGCGGGTGAGTAGCTCTGCCTCCTCCGCTGGCCCGGGGACGGCTGGGTGCATTCGGGGCCCGGCTATCTGCTCTTGGGGGTGGGGTGTCAGACTGGGCAGGGCGCCAGTTGGCTGATGGGAGCTCCGTCAGCTGGGGGGTGACGATGGGAACACCCCTGCTTCGGCGGCTTCCGGTGGTACCACATGGCTGGGCTGGCTGCTCCTGGGTCAGCGCTGGGTGGCAGGAAAACACCACTTGGCTCCAGGGGCGCTGGCTGTGCTGCAGGCCGGGCTGGTGCAGGCACTGGGAGGTGGGTGATGGAAGAGGGCCAGTGGCAGGTGTTGGGGTGAGCGAGGTGCTAGAGCCCCTCGAGTGGGGGCTCCTGGAAACGAGCCAGCGTCCCACGCTGTGCGGGAACCGGAGCTGGAGTGGAGGGAGCCTGCCAGACCAATGCCATGGCAATACCAATCCTAGGGTGGGGGGCTTACTCTGAGCCAGAGAGGAAGGTGCCCAGGGCTGCCAGTGCCAAGGGGGCAGCTCTGCTGCAGGGGCCAGGGGCCACGGCCCCCAGAAGCTGCAGGCTGGGGGGGTGTCAATGGGCCATTCCTCTGGGATCGCTCACACCCACCCAGCTACTGGGCTGCACACAGCCAGCAGAGGGCGCTAATACATGAGCACCTGGCACTGACTGGGGGTGGGCACGGGGCTGGGTGTTGGGACCTGAATGCAGGTGGCTGCGTGGCTCAGGCCTCAGGCAGGGGGCGCCTGGTCAGCACCAGGGACAAGGGCCCGACGCGGGACCTGTCAGAGTGGGGGGTGAGATAAATAAATAGCGGCGCCTCCCACTGCCTTAGGCCTGGGGCAGGCAGCCCCCAGGGAGAGACGGGGCGATGGCACACCAGGCTGGCCCCCTAGGGCCCTGATCCAGCTCCACGCCCCATTGCTCCCAGTGCCATGGCCTGGCTCGGGTCCCTCCGCAATCGTCCCTCTCTGGCGCCCGCTCTGCTGCCACAACCGACCCTGGTGCCCCAGCCCGGCGCCTGCCAGAGCCATGAGCCTGCTCCTGCTGTGTCCTGTGCCAGCGTTGGCACCCTGGAGAGCCAGCAGGAGGCGCCAGGGTGCGGCTGACTCAGGGAGGGGGCAGTTAGCTGTCTCAGGGGGTCCCACGAAGAGGCCTCTGGAGTGGCCTGCGTGGGCCGGTGGTGCGGGCCGGCCGCGGGGCTGGGATGGGGATTATTGCTATTCTCAGAAGAGTCAAACTCTTCTTTCGTGAAGGGTCCAAGCGAGACCCAAGCGGCAGTCTCAGGGGAAGGGGGCAGGAGGTCCGGCTCCCCCCCACCCCGCTGGCGGATTCACCCATCAAGACTCGGGCCAAGGTGGTGCCTTGTCTTGCATCTGGGCTTCGTTCACTCAGTTCACCACGGCCGGCTTCAGCAAGACGGAGCCAGGGGGGATCACCACCCAGCCGGGCGGCAGGGCCTCGGGGCTGCCCATAGAGCTCATGCTGGTGGACAGGTCCAGCACTGCGCCGGGCAGCAGCGGCAGGCTCTCCGGAGCACGCCTGAGCCGGGCCCGCTCAGTCCTGTCACACGAGTCTTTGCGGCTCTCGAGCCCCTGAGCTTTGCTCGCTTTGGCCACCCTGGTGTCGCCCGTCTGGCACTTCTCCACGTCCGTCTTGCCAGCAAGCAGGGACACCACTGGCAGCCCCAGCCCGCTAGCCCCAAAGGGAGATGCCAGCAAGGGGCTCTTGGCCAAGTTGAGTGGCGCCCCATTGAGGGACAGCACGGGGCTGGGCAGCCCCGACAGCGCAGCAGAGCCCACGGCACCACAGGCCAGGGTGCTGAGGTCCAGGGGACCCGGGGCCAGGGGGATGGGCAGAGAGGCGCCCAGGCCGGGCAGCGCGTGCCCGCCAAAGAGGGCGGCCGGGTTGGGGATGATGAGTTGCGCCCCGTTGACGTAAGGCACTTCCGCCGAGGCGACGGGGGTCTTGGGAGGCTGCTGGAGTTTGAGCAGCTCCTGCTGCTCGTGGGACACAAAGTGGCCATGGGCCTTGATGTGCTTCCGCAGTGAGCTGGGGTCCGTGTAGCGCTTGTGGCAGCCGGGCATCTTGCAGTAGTAGGGCTTGTCCACGTAGTGGGTGCGCGTGTGCTTGAAGCGGTCGCTGGAGTTGGAGTAGCGCTTGCTGCAGCCCTCGTAGGGGCACATGTAGGGTTTCTCGCCTGCATGGGGACACAACAGCCATGAGCTGCCACAGGCTTCTCGACCCGGCATGCCATGGGGCCTCTGCCGCCAGGCCACGGGCTGCCTAACCCAGCATGCCACAGCACTTCCGCAGCCAGGCCATGGGCTGCCTGACCCGGCGTGCAATGGGACCTCTGCCACCAGGCCATGGGCTGCCTGACCCGGCGTGCCATGGGACCTCTGCCACCAGGCCATGGGCTGCCTGACCCGGTGTGCCATGGGCTGCCTGACCCGGCGTGCCATGGGTCCTCCGCCACCAGGTCATGGGCTGCCTGACCCAGCGTGCCATGGGACCTCCGCCACGAGGCCATGGGCTGCCTGACCTGGTGTGCCATGGGACTTCTGCCGCCAGGCCATGGGCTGCCTGACCCGGCGTGCCATGGGATCTCTGCCACCAGGCCATGGGCTGCCTGACCCAGCGTGCCATGGGACCTCCGCCACCAAGCCATGGGCTGCCTGACCTGGTGTGCCATGGGACCTCTGCCGCCAGGCCATGGGCTGCCTGACCCAGCATGCCACAGGGCCACCGCCGCTGGGCCATAGGCTGCCCTGACACTGACTTTTGTGCAAGGGGGTGACACCCAGGCCCTCCATCCCTGACACTGACCTGTGTGCGAGCGGTTGTGGATTTTAAGGTTTTCCAGCCTGGAGAAGCTCTTGTTGCAGGTTGGGCAGCGATGAGGCTTCTCATTGGTGTGGGTGCGAATGTGGATCAGCATCTTGTACCTGCCCCAGGGAGAAGGGAACCCAGCTGGGGTGAGCCCGCCCAGCAGGGCACCACGGGGAGAGGGGGAGCCCGGCTGGGGTGAGCCGGCCCGGCAGGGTGCTGTGGGGCTGCAGCTGCCATGGGAACCCAGGGAGCTGATGGAACAGCTGTTCCCCTCTCCCCATCACAGGACACACAAATCACCACAGCCGCCCCCAGGGGGGCCAGGAACAGTCCCCAGCTCAGAGAGGACACGGACTTGTCCAATATCATACCCAGCAATTGGGGCAGAGCCCAGATCTGCTCCTGCCCCCCCACTGAATCCCTGTCCTGCCCCATAACCACCTCACCCAGATCCCCTCATCCCTGCCCCATAACCCCATAAGTGCCCCGCACCAACCGCCCCAATCTCTGCCCTTTAACCACCCAGCCCTGATCGACTCACCCCATAACAACACAGCATGGATCCCTGTTCCATACCGTAACCACCCAGCCCCAATCTCCCCATCCCTGCCCCGTAACCGCCCAGCCCTGATCCCCCCCAATCCTTACCCCATAACCAGCCAGCATGTCACTAACAGTTGTTGGTGTAACTGACACACGTGGTTCCCTGGGAAACCGCAATCTGCCTGAATCTCTCTTTCCTCTTCCCTCCCATCAGTCTCGGGGTCCCGAGCCGTGTCTCCCTCCCTCCCTGCAGCTCGCTGTCCCAGCCTCAGTGCCCCCAGCCCCCACCTGGCATTGAAGCCCCGGCCATGGCGCGCGCAGCCCTCCCAGTGGCAGCAGTAACCCGCGTCCTTCTCCGGCTTGACGTGGAAGTCGTTGACGTGATCCACCAGGTCTTGGAGCAGGTCGAAGAGCTGGTTACACTGCAGGGGGCAGGGTTGGGTCAGATGGTGGCTGAAGGGGGAGCCCCACTGTGTCTGGCTGCGGGAGATCACAGGGGGGCCCGGCTGGGGGAGGGGCGGCTGCAGGGGGCCCGGCTGAGGGCGGGGTGGGTGTTTTGATGCACGGCAGGTGGGATCAAGTGGGAAGTGGCTCAGGCCCCCCGAGGACTGGCCAAGATGTACCCACCCCGCCCCGTCATTCCCTAGCCCAGACCTGCCACGGCTGTGCCCGGCCCCAGAGGCTGCGGGCGCCGGGCTGGGAAGGGTGACTGGGACAGGTGGCCCATAGAGATCCACCAATGGCCAGGAGGGGCAGTGTCCCAAAGACCTGTTCCATGGCATGCGCCACGCAGCCCCGTGGCACACCCCTTGAGCACGCCCCTCGCAGCCCCCTCTGCCTCACCCCCCTCTGACCCTCATAGCCCCGTGGCACACCCCTCACAGCACCCTCTGCCCCACCTCCCTCCACCCAATGGCACACTGCTCGCAACCACCCATCCCCATCCCCCCTGCCCCGCAGCACGCCCCTCGCTGCACCCCCCACCCCACAACACACCCCTCGCTGCCACCCTCTGCCCCACGGCATGTCCCTCGCTGCCCCCCCCACCCCATGACATACCCCTCGCTGCCACCCTCAGCCCCACGGCATGCCCCTCGCTTCCCCCATCCGCCCATCCCCGCGGCATGCCCTCACTGCCCCCATCCGCCCCCCAGCCCCACGGCATGCTCCTCGCTGCCCCCCAGCCCCACTGCATGCCCCTCGCAGCCCCCCTCTAGGACGCAGATGTCAGGGGATTTACCCTACACAGGACTGGGGCCATGGGCTCAGCCCCCCAGGGCCCGGCTGCCCTCCTCACCTTGGCCCAGCGACACACCAGCTGCTGCGGCAGGGGCAGCTCCGGGGAGAGGCGCTTCTCCTTGGCGGGGGTGAGGAAGGCCGAGGCTGGCAGGTGCAGGGCGCCGCCTGAGCCCAGGGGCAGGAAGAACTGGAAGGAGCTCGGGAGGCCGTCGATGTAGCGCAGGGATGGGAAATCCTGTGGGGGGAGAACAAAGGTGCTGGGTCAGAGACACTGGCTGGAGCAGGGAGCTCGGGGGCGGGGGGGGCTGGGGTGGGTCAGAGACACCGGCTGGGGCAGGGGGCTGGGGGGGTGGACGTGCCCCACCCTGGGGATCAGGAAGGATGAGGATGAAGAATATTGCACAGCTGGATCCCAAAGCTTTGCAGTGCAATGAGCCCCCCCCTTGCACCCAACCCCCCCCGTCTCAGCTGGGGCCAGCTCCCCCAACCTCTGCCGCACTACTACCCGCATACCCAGCGTGGGCCTGGTGCCCATCCCCAGGCAGGCACAGGCCGGGCGAGCCACCCTTCCCCCCACAGTCCTGCCGCAGCCCATCCCCACTCCC